AGGAGGCGGGGGATGAGGTGGGCGGTTCGAGTCGGGGCCCGAGGGGCCATGAATTTTAAAGCCTCAAGTGCGAGGAGCTTGACATAATTCTTGGTGAACGCGACGCTGACACCCTGGAACTTGGACTCGTTGGTCAGGTCCTGGAGCGCGCCCAGCATGACCTGCATGCTGGACAGGAGCGTCTCGTTCTTGAGCTGGCCGCCCCCGAGCGCTGCATTCTTGTTCGCCCACTTCCTGATCGAATCGTAGACGCTATGTTTGCCCGCCGGGCGTGGGCGAATTATTGTGTCGATGAAGTCATAGAGCTCGAGCGCGGTCTGGTTGGAAATTGTCCCGCGCAAGACCAGCTCCATGAAATGATCCTCGACGGACGTCCAGCGCTTGATGCGGTGCTGGCTGCTTGTGGGCCCATCGCCCTCCCGAGCCTGGATGCCGTTGTCGCGCGCGTGCGCGCGCCGCCCCGCCGTGACTTTGGCAGCCCAGTCCAAGATTTCAATGAGCGACTGGCTTGATGTCTGACCGAAATCAAAGCTGCCGAAATCACGAATCCACGCGGCGATGTCAGGGCGCGTGTGTGGGGGGGTATCTGCAGACCGCGACGCGGGCGAGGCCGTTTTTTGAATGCGGCGAGGACGTTGCTGCGCCGAGGGTTCCTCTGGAAGGCGATGTAGAATGCAGTCGCCAGGTGGGCATGGGCGGAAAGGCGATGCGGGGGCCGGTCGCCCTCCGACAATTGCGCAAAGGGCGCCCCGCGCATGTCCTCGACCAGGCCGTAGTCCATGATGGTTTCCACGTGGCGCCCCAAAATATTATGCTGTTCTCTGCCGTTCAAGTCGCGCCGCGCGATATTCAGCGTCTTGGTGGCCTTGTCAAACCACGGGATTGCGCTGCTCAGCATCATGGGGGCCCCGCAGGCGCGGCGGTGGAGGAGAGGAGCGGATGAAGAAATGAATGGGGTGAAAGGGTGAAATGGGGGCTGGGGCAACGAGGGCCGGCAGCGGTGAGTCGGCAAATCCAGCGCGTCAATGGGAACGGCGAGGCGGGCCCCGCCCCGCCTCGCCCGTGACCCCGTGACTCGCAGCATCTGCGGTTCACCGATCCCCCACTGGTTGGGTCTGGCTGGGGCGCGGGCTGGAGTCGGGCCCCCCCCAGGGCCCCGGGGCCCGCGGCCCGCAGCACGGACGCGCATGGATTCAACGCACATGGACCCCAAAGGTCTTCTTGCAGAGATCCAGGCGTCGGGCCCCATGAATATTCGGAAGGCGTGCGTCGATGCTTGTCGCTCTCGAATCGTGTAAGAGCGCCAACTGATCGGGCGCGAGCCCTTGAGAGGGGCCATCCGCGCCCACGCCCATCGGCTCATCGTCGAACAGCGAGATCTGATCACCAGGAGAACCGGCCATGGACATGGCCGCGACAACGGCCGCCGACGATAGCGGCGCCGAACACTGAAGGCTGGGGTACACGGGCACGCGGCCGCGCAATGCCGAGGGTGATTCTAACGAATGAGCAACTAAGTTACCTGCTCGAGCTTGAATCGCAGCGGCTGGCGTGGAAGCCCGAGCCCCCGAACTCGCCCGAGCACGCCTCGGCCTTGCGAGCGGAACCCCGGAGCCCGACCGAGCCCCAGGAGTAATCCGACGCGGAGAGGGGAGGAGGAGAGGCTGAGAACGGCTGAGGAGAGGAGGAGAGGAGGACGAGGAGGAGGCAGAGGACGGGAAAGCGGGGCCGCGGGAGAATCAGAAGCTCGGAAGCTCGGGACAACCGCGCAACTACTTGCGAGTCTCGCGAGTCTCTGCAAACCGCCCAGACAGCCGACCCGCGCCATTGCCCCCGCCCGCCCCCCCGACCCAACGGCCCGACAGCCTGACAGCCAAGCCTTTCTAGCGCCCGGGGCCCGCGGGGCCGCAGACAATGGGGGCAATGGGTCGGAGGGTTCGGGGGGTCGGAGGGGCGGGGGCGCGGGGGCTCGGGCCTGGGGCGCGGGGGGGGGGGGAGGGGGGATGGGGGGGGGGGGTGGGGGGGGGGGGGGGCAGACATGCCATGCTGGGGCACAGACGCACTTTGCCCTGCGGCCACGCGGCAGTCATGTTGTCACGCGGTGCTGAGGTGCTGAGATGTTGTTGATGCTGAGGGGCCATGGTTCGTGAGGTTGATGCACGTGGCAGTGTTCGACCTGATCACGCATGGGGCGTCTCACCGTCTCACCCAAAATGTCGCCTGCAAACTACAATGCCATGGTGCGATGGTCGGCGGGTCGGCGGTAGCCAGCAGCAATATATTATGGCATGGGCACGTGGTCACATGGACGCATTCACCGCATGGTACATTGCTGTTGGAATGATGTTGATATTGGTAGCATAATGCTGATATACTGATATACTGATACACTGATATAGACATATAGACATTGAGTGTTGTGATTGCGACATCCGAACCACATCCCACATCGCCAACCCAAGGTGCCGCGCGAAGGTTGCCCTCGACACGGCGATGGCGCGGAGCTTCGGCAAGTCAGCGGCGACAGTGACCAAGGCCGGGCGGCGTCTCTGCTACTCTGTGGCGACGCGACGACGCCCCTCTCGTCCTCTCGTCCTCTCGGAGGTCCCCTCGTCCTCTCGTCTGTCGTCTGCAGAATGATCGGGCCCGATGGCCATGGCCCGACGCGCGCGATGCGCGCGCGCCGCCTGCCTGCGCGCGCAAATTCTGAGAAAAAAGACAAGCAAACTAAACGTGGCGCGCAGCCCCATGGGCCTCGTGTGACCAGGGCGCCCAGGGCGACCATAGCCGTAGCCCCAATTGGCATTATGTCAATGGCCCTTGGCCATGTTGCCCTCAGTATCCCAATTATCCCATCATGAACCGACGTGCTCATCATGGCACATGGTATCATGTTCTCATGCCCCTACCGCCGCCCCCGCTCCACCTCCTTCCCGCCCCCCGCGCGCGCGGCCCACGGCGTGCCGCGCGCGCCTCGGCGAGGCGAAAGCCAGCCGCAAACGGACGCTACCCGCCCTGAACGCGCGCAACCTGCCAAGCTGCCTTGGCCCCGTAGGGCCAGGGGCCCAGGGGCCCAGGGACAGGCGGGGAGGTAGGGGCGGTAGGGGTAGGGGGGAATGGGAGGAGTGAGAGAGCGAGAGAGTACGAGGAGGGACCTGGCCCGAGGTTGGGCTGTCATGCAATATCATTGCGGGGATTGCGGAGGGGGGGGGGGGGTCGGACCAGGCGGTTGACAGGTTGACAGGTTGACGGGGCGGCTCGAGGCGGGCTGCGCGGATTGCTGAGGGGCTCGGGGGCCATCGGGGCCATCTGGGTCATGGCCATCCGCAGTCAATGCGTCAATGCGCAACAAAAAGAATTAGTCATAACAGTCTCGGCCAATCCTAGACACACAGCGATTATGCAGCCAACGACGTGAACGCGCATTGTGTTTCCAGATTGCTTCACAAGTGCTGAGCGAGACCTATCTGCAATATTATTGCGGTGGAAGCTGCAGACGTTCCCATGCGTGCGAGATTCTTCTGACGAGTTAAAGACCACGTCTGTCTGATCCAAAACTGGGAACCCCTGGGCTACCATGAGTTCCATCGGGGTCATACACCTTCCCCTCTCCTTCACCCGCTGCATGCAATGGCAAGTGATCGCTTGCAAGATCTCCGCAGTGGACTTCGCCGGCTTCTCGTCGGGGCCCTCGCGGGGCGGCGGCAATCAGCGAGTCGGCGTGGCATGGGCAGCGGGAAGGCGGGCGGAGTGGCGGAGTGGGAGTGTAGGATGCGACGATGCGACGACTGCGGGGCGGTGGGGGGGGGCTCGGAGGCTCGGAGTGTCGGAGGGCGCCGAGGAAGGAGTGGGAGGAGGCAAGAAGGGGCAAGGCAGGCATGGACGGAACGGCGAGTCAGCTCAGGAGGTGATGGGGGGGGGGAGGGGGAGGAGGGAGAGGATCGTCGGCCAGACAGGGCGCGCGGTGCACGGGGGCAAGGAGGGATGGACGGGGTCAGTGGAGGGGCGGTGGGGGGGACTCGAGAGTAGAGTCTATACGTCGCGGCTAGGGCGATGACGGCAGCAACGAGAGTCCGAGATCGGCAGTTGGAGAAGTTTAAGGACATGGGAACGGGGAACGGATGAGTAGAAGAGTAGAAGAGTAGATGGCGAGAAATGAACACAACATGTGTCGAGTCCAGCCCAGCCAGCCGGGCACGCCGGGCGCGCCGGGTACATGGGGCGCAGGGGCGCAGGGAGGAGTGCATAGGTCGTGCCTAACAACGCTGCGCATTATACATATATATATATATATATATATATATGAAAATTTATGACTATATATATATATATGTTCATATATATATATATATATGTATATGTATATGTATATGTGTATATATATATATATATATATATATATATATGTCCGCATATCCCATGCACGCGCAATCGCAATAGGCAAGCCTCAACATTTGACATCGCCGACAACGAGATATGGCATGCACCGCGCCCCCGATATCACACATACATTTGGACGCACGACGCACGCGATTGCATGCGCGCAAGCATAAGACCAGACCCAAGACGCCATGACGCTATGACGCACGCGCCCACGCACGCGCTTCAACGGAAAGACGGAAAAAGTGAGATTGGGTCATGCGCGAGGTTGTACACAATGCTCCCGGGAAACAATGTCTCGTACCGATGTAAGAACGCAGCCTCCCCAGCGTCGAGGGCGCGGCGATGGTCGCCAGGCTGAACAATGTGATCGACGGAAGGCCGTCCACCATCCCAGGAGGTTGTCGCGCGAGATGCTGCCCGCAATAACTCTCGCTTGCCTTTGTGCTGCAGGCGACTAGGAATACCCGCCACGTGCACCGCATCGACTGGTGAAACAACTGGATCACATTATCGAGTGGCGAAAAATGTGCTGTCACTGTCCTCCGATGTAGCAATATTGACCACCTTCGTTTCCGACGGACTGGCCAACCAAGGTTTGTTGGACAAGCGATCGCAGCCATGCCCACGCAGGCATATCCGAACGCATGTTTCAGGAACGACACGTCAAAGAGGTGGCTGTTCTCGTGAATGATGAACATGGGCACGACTAGACGCATCAAAGCAACCCAAGCGATGAACAGTGATTTCGTCTTGCCCTCGGCGCCGCCGCGCGCGCCGAGCGGTGCGAAATCCCAGCGCGGCATACCTGCCACGCAGATCTCCCCTTCCTCAAACTTGCAGCTCACGCCATGCACTAGGCAGTGGCAGTGCCCCTTTGTTACCGACCGAGCCCTGCCCGTCCAGAACGAGTCCAGCTTAGTCAGCGATACCTTACCAGACGCATCGAGCTCCTGTAGGCGGCTCAACGCTGACGTCGATAAGAAACCAAAAATATCTGAAAACAGGCAGCCTGGCGGACTTGCATGAACGAGCAACTCGCGTTGACATGCTGAACTGTGCTCGACCGCAGCCGCGACAGCATCCTCGGCTGCCTTCTTGTCCTTCTTAGCCTGCATCGCCGCGGCCGCGGCAACATCCTCGGCGGCCTTCGCGCCCTTCTCAGCCTGCATCGCCGCGGCCGCGGCCGCATCCTCGGCAACTTGGCCCTTCTCAACCTGCCCCTTCGCGGCAGCCGCCGCATCCTCGCCGGCTTTCACATCCATCTCAGCCTGCTCCGCGACCGCCGAATTCTCTGCGACTTTCTCACCCTCCTCAGCCTCGGCCTTCATCGCCGCGGCCGCCGCCGCATCCCCGCCGGCATGCGAATCCCACTCAGCCTGCTCTACTGCCGCGGCCGCCACATCCTCGCCGGCATTCTCATCCTTCTCAGCCTGCCCCAATGCCGCAGCCGCCGCATCCTCGATTGTTTCCTCATCCTTCTCAGCCTGATCCCCTGCCGCAGCCGACACATCCTCGACAGCTTTCTCATCCTTCTCGGCCTGCTCCGCTGCGGCCCTCTCCACGTCATCGGCAGCTTTCTGATCCTTCTAGGCCTGGCCCGCTGCGGCCGCGGCCGCGCCCTCGTCGGCCTTCTTATCCCCCTCAGCCTGGTCCGCTGCGGCCACGGCCGCATCCTCGTCAACCTTCTTATCCTTCTCAACCTGCTCCGATGGGGCAGCGGCCGCATCCTCGTCCGCTTTCTTCTGGGCCTCGGCCTGCTCCGCTGCGGCAGCCGGCTGCTCGGCCTCGGCCTCGGCGGGCCCCGCGGGCACCAGCGGCTGGCGCGGGGCGGGCGCCCCGAACTTCCTCCAGGCGTCCACGGCTTGCTCGAGGAGGTACCTCTCGGGCACCTTCGAAGCGCGCAGCGGGGCCAGCGAATGGCGGCGCGACGGGGCGCGCAGGGGGTCGTCGAGTAGGGCGAGGGCGGGGGGGTGGAGAAGGGGGGTGGAGGAGGCTGACGGGGGCGACGACAACGGAGCGGCAGCACGAACATCGCGACCACGACGCCCACGAAGCACGTTCTGGAACTTGTCGATGGCCATGCAGGCGGCCTCCGCGGCCCTCGTCGCCTTGCCAGGGTGAATGTCGCCCGCGCTGGTCCTCTTGGGGCCGCCCGCGGCCTTCGCCCCCGCCGACTTGATAGGTGATGCCCTTCCTGCCCTCCACTTCCCCCCCTCCCCCCCCCCCATTCTCCCGTGCCCCCCCTGCCTCGTCCTTTCCCCCCCTCCCCCATGTGAAGCACTGCGTGTTAGTGCGAGCGTCAGCTGATCCCCCCTCTTCCCACTCCCAGAGGGCCCGCCGCCGCCCCCGAGCGAAAGGGCGCCAGGCCCTGGGCCTGAGAACGCTACGAAACCAACAACTTGAATCGGGGGCCGACAGCGCGAAGCGTGAAGCATGCGATTGTTGAGCAGACGTCGCGGCGAAGCGCCAAAGGCGCGGCCGGCGCCCTGACGCCCGCGGAAGTGGATGGACAGCGCCTTCTCCGCGAAGACGATGCCCGCGGGGATGCGCATCATCTCCCGAAAGCATTTGGCACGCGGGGGGCCGGCTGGTAATTGTCGTCGCACGACCGCCAACCCGCGCTGGCATCCCAAGCAAGGCTAACCATGAACAAGAAAACGGTGAAAGTTGACCCGCTCTGAGCTGCGGACGATGAGTTACGCCAGGGAGAACCGCGGGTCCCAAGATTCCTGGTGACCCCTTCAATACAAGCGCTGAATGGAGGACGCGGGAAAGAGCTGCCCGCCCCCCCCCGCCGCCTGCGGCTGCTGGTCGTGAATGAAGGGTTCGAACTTCGAGGCGCCCTCCATGTCGAAGATGCCGCGGATGGCGGTGGAATCCTGCATCGCTCTGTCGCGTTCGATGGGGGTGCCAGCGGCGCCAGCGGGCTCGCACTTCAGCGCGAAGTTCGCGAAATCCTGGCACCGCGGAAGCGGGTGGGGAGGGCGCAGAAGTAGAGGAGGATAGCGGAAGCGCCCCATGACCACTTTGCGAACGCCCGTGGCTAGGTAACGCAACGCGGGCAGCATTGCCGGCTCGGCGCCAAGGAACTGGCCCCCCGCGCTCGCGTAGTACAGGCACGCTTTATCGCGCAAAGCCTTCAACTCAGCGGGGCAACCTCGGCCGCGACACGACGGCATCGCACGCGGGACCGTGGCGCACCGCAGCAAGAGACGGCGTCGCATGCTAGTAGAGAAGCGCCAACCAAGATTGGGGCGAAGAGACATATTTGGAACGACGCCGCGAGATGCACGCGCCGCGCTCTGCCCCGCGATGCCCTGTCCACCGCCATCTACCACCTCGGGCTAAGCGAGCTACTGGCTGTCTTTCGGGCGTGCTTTTCGGACTCAACCAACTCAACCTCGAAAACATGCTCATTAGCAACATCATTATTCTCATCAGCGTCATCATCATCGTCCTCGTAATCGCCCTCGTCATCATCATGGTTTTTCATCACCATGGTCATCGTCATCGTCGTTACCGTCACCATCACCATCGAATATTACCCGCATAAAGCATGACATGCATGACGATGGTGACGGCTTGGGAAGCGATGACGTTACTGTTGACGACGACGTCAAATCTGACGATGACGTTGATGATGATGAAGATGGCGTTGATGATGATGATGGAGATGACGCTCATGATGACGATGATCTTTTTCACGTGACCTGCGTCCGAGTGAGCTGTTCCAGCCAAGCTGCGTCCGAGAGGCCTGGGGCCAACACGTGTGCTGGACTGCGTGCGAACGCACCCTGGGGCGCCAGGTGCGCATTGCACGCGCAAGTACCAACGCGCGTCCGAGCGACTCGCGGACATTCGCCATGGAGACAACATCCAGGGCCAACAGGCCGCCAACAGTATGCACACCATACTCGTTCCCCAGGTCGGCGGCCGCGCAGGTCGGTGAGCGTCGGGGCTGACGTGGCTCCCGCTAGCGCTCGCGAGCCCAAGGACTCCCCTCTCCGCAGTGTTTTTGAAGCCATCGAAACTCGAGATATCCGTCAGAAATGTCTAGGACTGTTACAGTCGAGCCGCCAACGGTGCCATGTCGCCATGACCAGCCGCAGCGGTGGCAAGTCGCTGCCCGATGCGGTCAGCGCGCGCAAGATCGGTCAGCACCTCGGTCAGGTCAGGGAGCGCCGCGGGGACATCGGACAAGTGCTCGGCCACGGCGTAGTTGACAACGCGGAAGAACTCCTTAGAGCCCGGCGTGGAAATGATCTTGCGCGCCCTGAAGTCGCGGAACACGTCGGAGCGGATCGCGACGGCGATCTGCAGGCGATGGTTCTGGTCGGCCGCTCCGTCGTCGCCCCTGGCTGTTGCGGCCGCTCCGTCGAAGGTGTGATTGCACTCCTCGCGGCGGCAGACGCTGTGCTCGAGGGCCGAGAGGTTGCCCGCGTAGAACGGGCCAGGCACTTGTTCAAGGGTGACTTGTGGTTGGCCCTCAACCTTCACTTCCACGGAGCGTGTCCCGAACAGCGTCACCGACGCGTGCAGAAGGCTGCACCCGCCGTCGGTGTACCACCCATCGCCCCGTGCACATGGCTGCATAAGCTGGATGGAGGCGTGCGCGAACGCGTTCTCGGCGAAGTTATCCTTCAAAATGGGCGCCCCGTTCTTCTCGTAGATCTCCGATGGCATATGGTCGTGCTTGATTGCCTCGCGCATCTCGTACCCCAGCTGTTCCAGCCAAGGGCGCCACCTCTTCCAAATCGCCCGCGCGAGGGCGGCGAAGCGCTTCGACAGGATCAGCTGCAAGTTCGCGTCGTCGTTCATTATGCGGCTTTTCGGGGGGTCATCTTCGTCCGCGACGCCTGCGATCTCGGCTTTCAAGCCCAAGGCCGCCTCGTCCTTCCGCGCGCATTTCGACCCGGTAGATCCCGACTGCAGGCGCTTCTCGGCCAGGCTGTTCCAGCTAGGGCACGTCTGCAAGAAGTCGAGCAAATCTGGGTCGAGGTCTGCCTCCGCGATCGTTCCGAACCCGTTCCTGCCTTGCTGCTTGGCCGCGCGGACGCGCAGCTCTTGGCCAGGCGGCTGCAGGAAGCTCTGGGTTCCGGCCCCGGCGACGGCCATTCTGGCGGACGGGTGCCGCGCCAGACATTTTCGGACGAGCTCGGCGAGGCTTCTGGGGCGGCCTTCGAGGCGCGCAGGGGGGCGCGACAGCGCGAGCCTTCGGGGCGCGCTCTCGGGCGCCAGCCAAGCCTGGCCCGACTGATTGCGCCACTTGTTGAAGGCAAAGAATCCAGCCGCGTGGCCGGGCACTCTGGCATCCGAGCCGTTCCAGCCTCTTGGCCTGGACGCCCCGCGATCTCCGCGATGGCCTGCGCGACCTCCACGGGGGTCGGCCTCTCTGCGAGGAGGAGCGGCTGACGTGAATGAAACTCCGGGGCCGCGCGCCCGAGGGGCCACGCGTCGAACTCTCCTGCGAGGCGCTGGTTCCCTACGAAGACATCTGGAGGCCTGTGCTGAGGCGTGCCCATGCGGATCTCGTGGTCGGTGGGCTTCAACTTCTTGTTCACCCTGACGCGGTGGTCCGCCATCTCCACGCAGCCGAGATCGGATCACCACCTGAGGAGAGGGGTGAAAAGAGGAGAGGGGGGCGACGCTGACGACCTCCAGGGGGAAGGAAAGAGAGTTGCGGCAGGACGACGACCCCTGGCTGGGAGAAGGATGGGTTGGAGATTCGAGGTCCCCCCACGGCAATGAGAACTCACATCGAGGTCTAACGAGCGCAGTTAGGAGCACGCATCGAGATCCAACATGGTCGGTTAGAGCTCAGATGGGGATCTAACACGGTCGGTTAGAGCTCGCATCGAGATATAACATGGCATGTTCGAGCTCAAGTCGAGATCTAACGAGGGCGGTTCGAGCTCACATCGAGATCTAACCAGGTGGGTTAGATCTACAATCGAGCTCTAACCAACGTGGTTAGAGCTCGAAACGAAATCCAACAAGGTCGTATAGATCTCAAGTCGAGCTCGAACAAACCAGTGCGGTTAGAGCTCAAAAAGAAATCTAACAAAGCTGGTTTGATCTCCATCGAGCTCTGACCAAGTCGGTGGGAACTCAACCCTGGCCCCCCAACTGTTGCAACCAACGACGCCTCACCCGCGCGCATCGCAAGATCTTGGGATCTGGCACTGGAACTCCGTCTCGCGCTGGGGGGGCGGCGCCACTGGGTCCCATCCCCCGTGCGCCCGCTGTGTCAGCGGCTGTTTCTAAGCAACTGCGCAAGTAGATCGCCGCTCGCATGGAGATGTTTGCTGGCTCCAGGTTGCAACGAAAGCAGCCTTTCTCGTGGATGGACTGCAGCCCGTCGAGAACGATGGTCAGCATGCGTTGCATGCCGCCCTGTGTGAAGGCGGAATTGTGGAGAAACTGTCGCACGTCGATCTCGTGCAGCTCGAACACGAGGCCGATGTGGACCGACCAGTCCCAAGTGTTGCGCTGCGACTGTTGCAGTCCTGACCCCCCCGTGGCCGTCAACTGCGAACAGGCCCGCGCCGACTAACCGAACGACGCTCGGGTGCAAGCCCAAAGCAACGCGTCGGCTGACCTCCTGATCAGCCGCCCAGACTGCATCGCCATCGCACCCCTCCGCAGCAACCGCAGTCGGATCGCCCCGCAGCATCTCGGCGGCAAGGCCGCTCGCGTCGCCTGCCCAGAGACACCACGCCGCAAGTTCCCTCCCACAGCACCGCCCCCCAGTCCACTTGGTAAGTATGTGGCGGGCCCCCATGCTTACTCAGATCCTCGGCTCTGCACAACTGCGTCACCGATTCGAGCTTCAGCAAACTCAGATCGGCAGCCCTGCGGACCCCAGCCGTTGCAGCGCCCATGGCGGTCGCTCCCGAACTAGGCCCCGGCGGGGGCGCATCTCCGACGGGCAGCGCGTCCCCGGTGACGCTCTCCAAGTCGAAATCCGCGGCTGCCTCCTCAACTGTCGCAGCCCCCTGCTATGCACCTGCCCCCCCCCCCCCCCCCACGCGGGGTCCACTGCGAAGGTCTTCCAGTCGCCGCCCGCGGAAAGCCTCAAGATCCGAGCGCAGGTATCTACGGCAATTGG